ACTATAGACTAGACTATAGACTAGACTATAGACTAGACTATAGACTAGACTATAGACTAGACTATAGACTAGACTATAGACTAGACTATAGACTAGACTATAGACTAGACTATAGACTAGACTATAGACTAGACTATAGACTAGACTATAGACTAGACTATAGACTAGACTATAGACTAGACTATAGACTAGACTATAGACTAGACTATAGACTAGACTATAGACTAGACTATAGACTAGACTATAGACTAGACTATAGACTAGACTATAGACTAGACTATAGACTAGACTATAGACTAGACTATAGACTAGACTATAGACTAGACTAGACTAGACTATAGACTAGACTATAGACTAGACTATAGACTAGACTATAGACTAGACTATAGACTAGACTATAGACTAGACTATAGACTAGACTATAGACTAGACTATAGACTAGACTATAGACTAGACTATAGACTAGACTATAGACTAGACTATAGACTAGACTATAGACTAGACTATAGACTAGACTATAGACTAGACTATAGACTAGACTATAGACTAGACTATAGACTAGACTATAGACTAGACTATAGACTAGACTATAGACTAGACTATAGACTAGACTATAGACTAGACTATAGACTAGACTATAGACTAGACTATAGACTAGACTATAGACTAGACTATAGACTAGACTATAGACTAGACTATAGACTAGACTATAGACTAGACTATAGACTAGACTATAGACTAGCCTATAGACTAGACTAGACAATAGACTAGAATATAGACTAGACTATAGACTAGACTAGACAATAGACTAGATATAGACCAGACTATAGACTAGACTATAGACTGGACTATAGACTAGACTATAGACTGGACTATAGACTAGACTATAGACTAGACTATAGAATAGACTATAGACTAGACTATAGACTACACTATAGAATAGACTATAGACTAGACTATAGACTAGACTGTAGACTAGACTATAGACTAGACTATAGACTAGACTATAGACTAGACTATAGACTAGACTATAGACTAGACTATAGACTAGACTATAGACTAGACTATAGACTAGACTATAGACTAGACTATAGACTAGACTATAGACTAGACTTTAGACTAGACTATAGACTAGACTATAGACTAGACTATAGACTAGACTATAGACTAGACTATAGACTAGACTATAGACTAGACTATAGACTAGACTATAAACTAGACTATAAACTGGACTATAGACTAGACTATAGACTACACTATAGACTGGACTATAGACTAGACTATAGACTAGACTATAGACTAGACTATGGACTAGACTATAGACTAGACTATAAACTAGACTATGACTAGACTATAGACTTGACTACAGACTATGACTAGACTATAGACTTGACTACAGACTATATATATCTATAGTCTACGCTATAGTCTAGTCTATAGTCTAGTCATAGTCTATAGTCTGGTCATAGTCTGTAGTCAAGTCTATAGTCTAGTCTATAGTCTAGTCATAGTCTATAGTCTAGCCATAGACTAGACTATAGACTATGGCTAGACTATAGACTATGACTAGACTATAGACTAGACTATAGACTTGACTACAGACTATGACCAGACTATAGACTATGACTAGACTATAGACTAGACTATAGCGTAGACTATAGACTAGACTACAGTACAGACTATAAAGTAGTCTATAGTCCAGACTGTAGAGTAGTCTATAGTTTAGACTATAGCGTAGTCTATAGTCCAGACTATAGAGTAGTCTATAGTCCAGACTATAGAGTAGTCTATAGCCAAGACTATAGAGTAGGCTATAGATAAGACTATATAGTAGTCTATATTCCTGTCTGTAGTCCAGTCTATAGAGTATTCTGTAGTCCAGACTATAGAGTAGTCTATAGTCCAGATTAGAGAGTAGTCCAGTCTGTAGTCTAGTCTATAATAGACTATAGTCTAGTCTACAGTCTACTCTATAGACTAGATTATACACTAGACTATAGTCTATAATATAGAATATATAATATTTTATATATATATATATATATATATATATATATATATATAGACTAGACTATAGACTAGACTATAGACTAGACTATAGACATAGACTATAGACTAGACTATAGACTAGACTAGACTAAGACTAGGACTAGACTATAGACTAGACTATAGACTAGACTATATGACTAGAACTATAGGCTAGACTATAGAACTAGACTATAGACTAGACTATAGGACTAGACTATAGACTAGACTATAGACTAGACTATAGACTAGACTATAGACTAGACTATAGACTAGACTATAGACTAGACTATAGACTAGACTATAGACTAGACTATAGACTAGACTATAGACTAGACTATAGACTAGACTATAGACTAGACTATAGACTAGGACTATAGACTAGACTATAGACTAGACTATAGACTAGACTATAGACTAGACTATAGACTAGACTATAGACTAGACTATAGACTAGACTATAGACTAGACTATAGACTAGACTATAGACTAGACTATAGACTAGACTATAGACTAGACTATAGACTAGACTATAGACTAGACTATAGACTAGACTATAGACTAGACTATAGACTAGAGTATAGACTAGACCATAGACTAGACTATAGACTAGACTATAGACTAGACTATAGACTAGACTATAGACTAGACTATAGACTAGACTATAGACTAGACTATAGACTAGACTATAGACTAGACTATAGACTAGACTATAGACTAGACTATAGACTAGACTATAGACTAGACTATAGACTAGACTATGACTAGACTATAGACTAGACTATTGACTAGACTATAGACTAGACTATAGACTAGACTATAGACTAGACTATAGACTAGACTATAGACTAGACTATAGACTAGACTATAGACTAGACTATAGACTAGACTATAGACTAGACTATAGACTAGACTATAGACTAGACTATAGACTAGACTATAGACTAGACTATAGACTAGACTATAGACTAGACTATAGACTAGACTATAGACTAGACTATAGACTAGACTATAGACTAGACTATAGACTAGACTATAGACTAGACTATAGACTAGACTATAGACTAGACTATAGACTAGACTATAGACTAGACTATAGACTAGACTATGACTAGACTATAGACTAGACTATTGACTAGACTATAGACTAGACTATAGACTAGACTATAGACTAGACTATAGACTAGACTATAGACTAGACTATAGACTAGACTATAGACTAGACTATAGACTAGACTATGGACTAGACTATAGACTAGACTATAGACTAGACTATAGACTAGACTATAGACTAGACTATAGACTAGACTATAGACTAGACTATAGACTAGACTATAGACTAGACTATGACTAGACTATAGACTAGACTATTGACTAGACTATAGACTAGACTATAGACTAGACTATAGACTAGACTATAGACTAGACTATAGACTAGACTATAGACTAGACTATAGACTAGACTATAGACTAGACTATAGACTAGACTATAGACTAGACTATAGACTAGACTATAGACTAGACTATAGACTAGACTATAGACTAGACTATAGACTAGACTATAGACTAGACTATAGACTAGACTATAGACTAGACTATAGACTAGACTATGACTAGACTATAGACTAGACTATTGACTAGACTATAGACTAGACTATAGACTAGACTATAGACTAGACTATAGACTAGACTATAGACTAGACTATAGACTAGACTATAGACTAGACTATAGACTAGACTATAGACTAGACTATAGACTAGACTATAGACTAGACTATAGACTATGACTAGACTACAGACTATGACTAGACTATAGAGTAGTCTATAGTTCAGACTATAGAGTAGTCTATAGCCAAGACTATAGAGTAGTCTATAGCCAATACTATAGCCAAGACTATAGAGTAGTCTATAGTCCAGATTAGAGAGTAGTCTATAGTCCACACTATAGACTAGTCTATAGTCCACACTATAGACTAGTCTATAGTCCACACTATAGACTAGTCTATAGTCCAGTCTGTAGTCTAGCCTACAATAGACTATAGTCTAGTCTACAGTCTACTCTAAAGACTAGATTATACACTAGACTATAATCTATAATATAGAATATATTATAGACTAGACTATGTACTTTACTCCAGATATTGGTCCAGACTATAGAGTAGTTTATAGTCCAGATTATGGAGTCTTATATTGTCCACACTACACAATTATCTGTAGTTCACACTATAGAATAGTCTAGATCCAGTCCAGATTAAGAGTAGTATATAATCGAGACTATAGAATAGTCTCAATTCTAGATTATAGAGTAGTATATAGTCTAGACTATAGAGTAGTATATAGTCTAGACTATAGAGTAGTCTATAGTACAGACTATAGAGTAGTCTATAGTCCAGACTATAGAGTAGCCTTTATTCCAGACTAGTAGTCTATAGTCCATTCTATAGAGTAGTTTGTAGTCCAGACTATAGAGTAGTCTATAGTCTAGACTATAGTGTTGTCTGTAGTCCATACTATAGAGTGGTCTGTAATCCAGACTAGAGAGTAGTCTGTATCCCAGACTATAGTGTTGTCTGTAGTCCAGACTATAGATTAGTCCATAGTCCAGACTAGAGTGGTCTGAAGTGCAGACACTAAGTTGTCTTTATTTCAGACTAAAGGATCTTAACGATGATATAGATTAATCTATAGTCCGGACTATAGATTTGTCTACAGTTCAGACTATAGATTAGTCTATAGTCCAGACTATAGATTAGTCTGTAGTTCAGACTATAGAGTAGCCTATAGTCCAGACTATAGAGCAGTCTATAGTCCAGACTATAGAGCAGTCTATAGTCCAGACTATAAAGTAGTCTATAGCCGTCCTTATTATAGACTTATCTGCACCCCTGACTATGGACTGGACTAGAGTCCTGACTATAAAGTATATATATTTTTGGTATTTTTTAAATTTTTTATTTTTTTTTTAATTTTTTTAAATATTTTTTATTTAAATAAATTTTTTGGTTTTATAATATCATACACAAAAAATACTGTTATTTCAGCACAAACTGTGAGTAGCCTTAATTCAAACAAATATTTTATTTTCTGTTTCTCCCTCTACAGCTATTCCAAACCCACCATCTTTAAACTCTCTTGCCACAGCCAGTGAGCCAAATGAGAATCTCTTACCCAAGGCGGCATATAGGCCTGTTTCATATCAACATAAAATCCTCCAGATTTATCCTCTAGCTCGGGATCCAAAGCTAAATATATAGCGGTCTGAGCACCCGATTTAATACTTTTAGCAAAAAACTTTAACAGAGGATGAAACAAACACCAGGTATTTTCGTACAGTAAATCGGTTAAAACCAAACCGGGATAGAGACAATTGGCGGTTACCGAAGTATCTTGCAATAGTTCTGCTAGTTTGAGGGTGAAGAGAGTATTACAAAACTTACTTTGCAGAAAGGCCTTGAACCATATGAATGATTTTTCACTTTGTAAATCTTGTTTATTGAGTAGAGCTAATATATGAGCATTTGAGGAAATGGTAATAATCCTACTGGGAGCGGAGTTTTTTAAAGTATCCAGCAGCAGATTGGTGAGCAGAAAATGACCCAAATGATTGGTGGCCAATTGCAGTTCATAGCCATCAGAGGAGAGTTGTCGTTTTTTTGTTATTATGGCAGCATTATTGATTAATATATGCAGGTTGTGTTCCTCTTTTAGAAATTGTTCCACGAATTGTTTAACCGATTCCAGGGAAGAGAGATCCAAAGTTCTGTTAAACACCTGTTGATTCCTAGTTTGTTTTATAATATCCAAACGGGCCTCTTCACATTTCTCATAATTCCGACAAGCCATATAAACTTTAGCTCCACGTCGGGCCATTTCCAAGGCAGTCTCTTTGCCTATGCCCCGATTACAACCGGTAATTATGACCACTTTACCTTCCAGGCGATTGTGTTTTTGATAACGGGGACCTTGTATATATTTCCTTAGGAAATACAGCATAATCCAGAGAATAGCTAAAAGAGCTATGATACCGAAAACCCAAAACCATAATTGCTCTCTGATGTGATTATAATGGGAGATATCTTTGTTTTCGGTATTATTGGAAGACTTTAATCTAAAGAATTTTGAAGTTATTTTTTAAAAAATTTTATAAAAAATCAACAGACACTCACTTAATTAATTCCATTTTAAAATTTTCAATAAACTTAGATGTTTTCTCGTCGATGACATGTTTTAAACTGTTTACAATTAAAGTTTTTTTCTTTGGATTGTTTGCAAATACTAAATCGGTAATTATTTTAAAGCTTTAATGGTCCCATAAGAGAATTAATAAGTAATTTTTTTCAATTCAGCATGATTGGAAAATCACACTAAAGGGCAAAATATAAACAACAAATTTAAACATAAAACTAAAATTATTAAAAATAATACAGTGTCTGTCGTAAGTTCCTCTAACAAATTCCAACTACTTAACCCCAAACCACCAAAAAATTGTTTTAACTATGCTGCCTCTTTTTTGTTCCCCACTGTTTTACTAAAAACCAGTATAAGTTCGTAATGAATGCATGTAAAACGTCTATAGAATATTTAATTTCGTATATATGAATTATTAACTACTAACTATTGCTTTATAGTTAATAATATTATTTCGTACTTATTTGGTTTAATGAAAATTTTTTAAAGCCCCATACAAGCAATTGTTTTGAACGTATGTTTAACAAAAAACCCCCAAAGAGAAGTGAGTACGAAAACATTTGTTGTAAAGTGAGCAAAATGTAATTGTCTCTGAAGCCATAAGTTAAACAAAAACAAAATAACTTTTCTTATAGAGAGTGTTATACAGCTGATGTATAATTATCGAAAAAGAATTAAATAATTAAGAATAAATTCGCAGTGTGAAGCAAAATTAAGATAATCTAGACTATTAGTCTAGACTATAGACCAGACTATTGTCTGGACTATTGACTAAACTACAATTTTAACTAGAGACTAAACTATAATCTAGTATAGTTTATAGTCCTGAATATGGTCTAGTCTATAGTCCAGATTATTGTCTAGTGTAGGACTATCTATAGTCCAGACTATAATCTAGTCTATTGTCCAGACTATAGTCAAATCTATAGTCCAGACTATAGTCTAATGTATAATCCAGACTATAGTCTAGTCTTTAGTCCACCTATAGTCTAATCTAAAGTCCAGACTATAGTATAATCTATAGTCCAGACTATAGTCTAATCTATAATCCAGACTATAGTCTAATCTATAATCCAGACTATAGTCTAATCTATAGTCCAGACTATAGTGTAATCTATAGTCTAATCTATAGTAAAGACTATAGTCTAGTCTGTAGTCCAGACAATTGTCAAGAATATAGTCCAGACTATAGTCTATTATATAGTCCAGGCTATAGTCCAATCTATAGTCCGAACTATAGTATAATCTATAGTCCATAGATAGACTACAGTCTCGTCTATGATCTAGCCTATAGTCCAGACCATTGTCTAGTCCAGACCATTGTCTAGTCCAGACTATAGTATAGTCACGACTAAAGTCTAGTCCGATCCAGTTTATAGTACAGACTATAGTATAATCTGCAATCCATACTATAGTCTAGTCCATAGTCAATTCTATAGTCTAGTCTTTAATCTAGTTCATAGTCTAATATATAGTCTAGTTTATAATACAATCTATAGTCTAGTCTATAGTCCTAACTAAAGTCCAGTCTATAGTCCAAACTATAGTCTAGTCTATAGGACAAACTATATTCCACTCTAAACTCCATACTGTAGTCTTGTCTATAGTCCTAACTTTGGTCTAGTCTACTCTAAACTCCAAACTGTAGTCTAGTCTATAGTCCAGTCGATAGTCCAGATTATAGACTAGTCTATAGTCCAGACAATAGTTCAGTTTATAGTCTGGTCAGTAGTCCAGACTATAGTGTAGTCTATAGTCCAAACTATAGTCCATATTCCAGATTATAGTCTTGTCTATAGTCCAGACAATAGTCAAGTCTATAGGCCAGACAATAGTAAAGTTGATAGTCCAGACAATAGTCTAGTTTATGGTACAGAAAATAGTCCAGTCTATAATCCACACAATAGTCAAGTCTATAGTCAATTCTATAGTCCAAAATAAAGTCTAGTCCATAGTCCAGACTGTAGTCTAGTCTATACTATAGTGCAAGTCATAGTCTAGTCTATCGTCAAAGCTATATTTTAGTCTAGCCGACAAACTATATTTTAGTCTATAGTCCAGATTATAGTCTAGTCTATAGTCCAGACTATAGTCTAGTCTATAGTGCAGACTATAGTCTAGTCTATAGTGCAGAATATAGTCTAGTCTACAGTCCAGACTACAGTCTAGTCTATGGTCCAGACAATAGTATAGTCTATAATCCACATAATAGTCAAGTCTATAGTCAATTCTATAGTCCAAAATATAGTCCAGTCTATAGTCCAGACTATAGTCTAGTCTATACTATAGTGCAAGCCATTGTCTAGTCTATCCTCAAAACTATATTCTAATCTAGCAGACAAACTATATTTTAGTCTATAATCCAGACTATAGTCTAGTCTATAATCCAGACTATAGTCTAATATATAATCCAGACTATAGTCTATTATCCAGACTATAGTTTAGTCTATATTCCAGACAATAGTCTAGTCTATAGTCCAGACTATAGTCTAGTCTATAGTCCAGACTATAGTCTAGTCTATAGTCCAGACTATAGTCTAGTCTATAGTCCAGACTATAGTCTAGTCTAATATATAGTCCAGACTATAGTCTAGTCTAATCTATAGTCCAGACTATAATCTCGTCTATAGTAAAGTCTATAAGCCAGACAATAGTCTAGTCTTTAGTCCGGGCAATAGTCTAGTCCATAATCCAGGCAAGAGTCAAGTCTATAGTCCAGAAAATAGCTAGACTATAGTCTATACTATATAGACTATAGTCTATAATGTAGACTATAGTCTATAATGTAGACTATAGTCTATAATGTAGACTGTAGTCTATAATGTAGACTATCGTCCAAACTATATTCTAGTCTATAGTCCAGATTATAGTCTAGTCTATAGTTCAGACTACAGTTTAGTATATAATCCAGACTATAATCTAGTCACTAGTCCAGACTATAGTCTAGTCTATAGGCCAGACTATATTCTAGTCTGTAGTCCAGACTATAGTCTATAGTCCAGTCTATAGATCAGTCTATAGTCCAGACTATAGTCTAGTCTATAGTCCAGACAAAAGTCTAGTCTATAGTCCAAACAATAGTAGACTATAGTCTATGCTAATAATGGACTATAGTCAGACTACATGTTAGTATATAGTCCAAACTATAATCTAGTCACTAGTGCATACTATTGTCCAGTCTACAGTTCAGAATATAGACTAGTCTACAGTGCAGACTATATTCTAGTCTTCAGTCCAGACTATAGTCTAGTCTATAGTACGAGCTGTAGTACAGTCTGACCTACAGATTAGACTATAGTCTAGTCTATGTTCTAGACTATAGTTTCGTCTATATTCTAGACTATAGTTTAGTCTATATTCCGGACTATAATTTAGTCTATAGTCTAGCCTATAGTCTAGTGTATAGACCACAGTCTAGTCTATAGTCCAGAACATATAAAAGAGAAGAACGATATCATATGTTAAAGTTCCTTTGCAATTCCTAAACAGCAAATATCAACAAATCATCATAATCATAAAAATTTTGCAAAAGTGCAACAAAACTAAGAAAACGCCTTAAGTTATGCTTTCAACAATTCCATCCGAATATACATACTTTACTACTTCTCTAGTATATTCGTTTAACAAAATGTATCTTTTAAACTATTTCTTAAAATAAAATTTTTGTCTCTAACAGAAATAAAACTAAAATATTTTTGCACAATAAACTGCAAGCATATGCAAAAAATATAAAAAGTGATATCACATAACTTAGGGCGTTAAATTTGATTTGCAAGTATTAAAATGTTTTTAATAAAATCTAAATAATAAACTAAAATGCGTTGACAATACAAAGAAAGTTTAAACTACGGTAGTTCTTTTAAAATTAGAAACATTTTAAAATCAACATAATCTGGATGTTTTTAGTACAAGCTATAAAGTATGCTACAATATTTGTTATTACTGCATCCTTCATATATGTCTTAAATTTTTTAATTTAAAATCTTTTTCAACATTTCATTGGTTTTAAACCCATCTGTTCATTAGTCCTTCAATTTTGTTTTGCTGCTCCCCCTCTTGTCTTTCTTGCTATTTCTTTTGCTTTATTAAGTGCTAAGAAATATCTTTTCTCTTCCCCTTTCTCTTTTTCAATGTAATATTTTAAAGAATTTAATTGCCAAAAGAATAAAGATTTTCATTTTGACTTTATGCCAAATGTACAAAGCCAAAGAAAGAAAGAAACGTATTAAAAAGGATTTGTATTTTCACATTCTAGTAATTAAAAGACACCGTCACAACAATCATTTGCTCCCACACACACATACACTTCCATAATAGAGTAACAATAAAAGAAAAGGATGTTGAAAAGAAAAAAAAGATCCCCAAGTTAAACTGTTTTAACATTAAGATTTCGACAAGAAAATTGTTGTCGTTGACAACTTAAGTAACATGACATTTTTTTCCTCGATTTCTTTGTGATTTTATTACTGCATGTTGTGACTGTTTAGCCAAAAAAGGGGTTAAAACAGACATAAATAGAAGGCAAAGGACAAACCAAGAAATCCAAAGGAAGTGGCAGGAAAATGATGCAGTCTATTCATACTATAAATAGGCTATAGTCTCTACTGTAGACAAACTATAGACTCGACTATAGACTATAGTCTCGACTATAGACAGACTATAGTCTCGACTATAGACAAACTATAGATCAGCCTATAAAGAGTCTATAAGCAGACTATAGTCTCGACCAGAGACTCGCCAATAGTCTCGACTATAGACAGACTATAGTCTCGACTATAGGCAGACTATAGTCTCGACTATAGACAGACTAAAGTCTCGACTATAGACAGACTATAGTCTCGACTATAGACAGACTATATACAGACTATAGACAGACTATAGTCTCGACTATAGACAGACTATAGTCTCGACTATAGACAGACTATAGTCTCGACTATAGACAGACTATAGTCTCGACTATAGACAGACTATAGTCTCGACTATAGACAGACTATATGACTATATGACAGACTATAGTCTCGACTATAGACAGACTATAGTCTCGACTATACACAGACTA